TGCTGTTGAGCATGCTAACTTTTGCAACTAATTGCAACATGAGAAGGTGAAACCATGATGCAAATCGAGCCAAATATCAATAGTATCGATACTCGTGCTGGTATCAGTATCGAGTCCATACTAGTGTGATAGGATTTTTTTTTCTTTCTGTCCTCTAAATTCAGTATGTAGCCCACTAAAAATAAAATAAGTACCTCAAACATGCACTATGAAAAATGTCTGAACTTTTTGTGTGTTTTACATAATACACAGTATTTATTTAAATCCAAACAGATCAGCTATATGAACGTGAACTACGAGTGGTTTATGAATGAATTCTGTGGTTATACAGTTCCTTGTAAAGGCTCTCCAGGCTCCTTTGTTCTTAGGCTGCATTGCGGGTTTTCATCTGTGTTCCACTAATATCTGTAAGTGTGGGAAGTTCGTCTCCCACACCCACCCACAGAGTTTGCTGATTAGATTCCTGTTTTCAAGTGCACAGATTGCTGGAATTAGCTGATTGGTCCAGCCAGTCACCACAGTACTGGTGTAACACGTGGGCCACCTGGACATCTCCAGTAAATTAACGACAGCCAGATGCTGAAATTACAGGGTGACCAAAAGAGCCAAAATCTGCCCAAAAAAAGCTGTGTTTAATTTTTCTTGTCGTCGGTTTACCACAATGTAGCTGCAAGTACACATTTGCCTGTTTGTTTACACGTCCATCTGACTGTGAATCTCCCCCATGCTTACATAACTTCAGAGTACTTTGGCTCCACTAATCTGGGATGTATTTCAGGGGATTAACTTCAGTCAGGGAATGGAATCACTCTCGCGTAGACCCGCTGATCAGTTTTGTGGACTGGGTGATGGCTTAATCCTGCGATTGTCTGGTTTGTCAACTACAGATGGATGACACATTAAAGGAAGAGCCAATGTAAAATGTCTAAGTAGCCACTACATGTTGCCAGGACAGCTTCAGTGGGCCTTGGCATTGATTCTGCAAGTCTGTGAAAGTCTGCTGAAAGAATGGAAGGCCATTAAAATCATACATTTTATCTGATTAAGGTGAGGTCTTTCTGTCACGTTATGGGCCGAATATTGGTCTCTGTTGGCAGACTGTAGGGATCTACGAATCGAAACGTCTACCTGGAGAAAGTGTCTGCTGTCAGATAGAGGCTAGCGTGCCAAGTATGTGGTGTTATTGTTGGTCCAATCAGTCAGCAAAATTATAAGCACAAAGAGCTGACGTGAAATGAGCGTCTGTACTTTTAAGACTGCAATTTTTTATCTTTGGAAGTGTGCACGGGATCTCGTTAGCACAGGTTGAAAACAACTCTAGAAAGCTCTGTGTAGGCAAATATCTGTGCAAACGTGACACAGGCGCAGTACCATGGAACAAGCGTTAGTCTTGTCACAGTCTTGTCTTCCTCAGTCTGTCTGCACCTCATCCCCTTACAGTCATAGAGTGCGTTAATCATGCAGCGTCATGCGTTATTCATAGGCAAAGCCCATTTGTTATTATCAACTGCCTGAGTGTGCATAACTCCTTTCCCTTTATCATGTACAGTAATTCATGAATTTGACATGGCACCCAGGCATCTCTCTGGCAGGTCTTCACATGATCTACATTTTTAAAACCTAATTCTGCTAGGCCTTGTTTTTTTGTGTCTTTATAGCGTATGATATTATGCTTTGCTAAGCTGAATCTCTAAACTTGGCAGTGTTAACATCTACCCACTGATTTCCGCATGACCTCATCTTGTTTATCCGTGGACTCCTTTCTCTCTCATATCTTTGTTGAGTCCTCGTTGGCAGCCTTCACCACTTCTTACCTTTGTTTGTTTGTTGTTGTTTTTACAAGTGGCACCACTAAAACTTGGCTTGAACATTCGTTGCTCCTGCAAGATCAGAGTGCTGGTTAGCTTTAACTTGTTAAGTAATGAAAAAGCAAAACAACACGTTGCGGAGACGTATAAGATGTATTTCTCTGACTCCCCGCAGGGCCGCCCGATAAACTCCCCCAGCCCACCAAGCCTTTGCCAACGGCGCCCTCTCCTCGCTCCCATCCTCCTTCGGACCCTCGTAAACAAGACAGGCAGACGCAACTCCCAATGCTGCCTACGCGACCGTCGCAGCCCAATGCTAAACCCAACATCTGCGATGGAGGCTTCAACACTCTGGCCATACTGAGAAGGGAGATGTTCGTCTTCAAGGTAAAACAACAGCATGTGATATCAAAACAAAGCTAGGGGCTCTTCACGTTTGGTTTGTTTCCAGCAATCTCAAGTTTTTAACCCAAGAGCTGTTTTTTTCTTTTACCAATAGCCTGGATCTCTTAGCTGTGTGGGAGCACAGAAATCATTGTTCCCAGTCCAAATCATCACTGAGCTAGAAGAGACTTCATCCCTGCACCATACGTCTGGGTGTAATACATAACTTGACTAGCTGATAACACCAACACAAGAAGAACCTGGCCCTACAGTCCATCTCTGTTAGTCTTAATTAAGACCAACAGAGAAAAAATTGCGATAAATATTTTATTAAATATATGAAAACACAATTAATAATAAATACATGAAAATACTCTGGGAATCCTACTAACAAGAGAGCTCAATTTCAGACTGATAGCAGCCCGGCTCGGTCTTATGGTAGGATTCACGGCAGGTCATAAGGTCAGTGTTAGCATGCTCAACAGTCTCATTTTGCAGCATCTAATCGGATTAAACAGATATCGACAAAGTTTAGCTTTGAGGATATAATCTCCATTTGAAACAACAATATTGTAAATATGTATTATAAATATGTGTAATATAAAATGTGTAATCGTATAATACACAATAGTACATATAATAGGATCTAATATACATGATTTTAAATTGATTGCATCCTGTGTTTCTTATCATCAGTTACTTGTTTTGGTTTGTAGTTACATGCAGAATAAATTGCTGTGAGTTTGGAGGATTATCTAAATATTATGAGCTAAATGAGAGCTTTTTCTGTTATTCTGCTTCATGTTTAGCATGTGCATAGTGTGAAAAAACTTCACTTGATGGTAATAGAAGTTATTTCACAGTTTCACAGTGCGGTTCTAGCTTGTAGAAATACTGTGGAACCTGTTCTGTTCTCTTGAAGCTATTGCCTCTGTATTTTATGCCATTATTAAAGAGGCTATTATGTCTGAAGGAAGACTTCCTTGTTAACTTGGGGTCTATTGAACTAGAATTTACAAAGAAGGAAAGGCATGCAGTGCACAGTAGAATACAGTTTCTCCTTCTCTAGAGAAGCTCGGCTTGGTTTTCATTCCAGTACAAGAGAAAAAACACACATCTTTATCCTTGGTCTTAGCTTGTGAGAGCGAGACCTTGGCAACATGCAGTAAGGAACAGAGAAAAACCCTGGGGCTGCACAAAGCTGTCCTGTGTTCTCCACAGAAAGGAGAAAGAGTGCCTCTGATGCTTTATGTGAGTGTGACTGTATTTTCTGTGGATATAAATAGACAGTATTCATTGGTTAAATAAGAGACTTGTGGAGCCAGAGTAAAACCAGTTTTCGTCCTCTCTGCACCCCTCGCTGCAAATTTCTTCTTGTTGACTCAAAAAATAAATTAAAAAAAAAAAGGACTCGTGGAGCTGAAGCTGCTACCTGTAAGGATATTTACCCAAAATTAGACTCGAAGCCCACACTGAGCCCGGTTTGGCTGTGGAAACAATACCTGCTTGTCACAGTAGTCTAGTCCAGCCTCTCTCTTTCACATGGTGCCTGCAGCAGCAGCTACTGTCAGCCTTCATTACTCCCAGGGCAACAGCCTGTCCTGATGGAGTGATGAGGATCATGGGATTTCTACAGAGCTCAGAGGTAGTGCTGAGATAAAAAAGATGTTCAGCAATCAGCCAAATGTTTTATGACTTTAGGAAGTGAAGGAGAAAGGCTCTAAATATCTGTCCCAGTGATCCCAGCGTCTGAAATTAAAATGTGGTGCACTGCTGCAGAAGTTTCCTGGTCTTAATTTATCACATTGGTCGTCTCAAGCATGACTTTGATGTTGTTTATATCTAATCTGTTTATATATCCAAGCATTGTTTTTTCTCAGTCTACATGAATATTTCATTCTTTTTTTTTTATTTATGGCTACCTATATATTTACCTTTGCCAAAGAGGTTATGTGATTGGTTTAGTTTGTTTGCAGGATTCAGGATTATTCAAAAACAACAGTTTTGCAGAGGTGGGGCTTGAACCACAGACTATATTTATTTATTACAATTAAATATCAATTAAAATAGGAAAAAAAACCAGTGAGGTGAGAAATCATCCTTATATTCACAAGAAGGTTTCAGACACAAACCTGGATTCTTCTGGATCAAGAGACTCGATTGATGCTCGGTGTTGAGTGAATTTTCAGCCTTGGTGGAAGGATGCTGTGTATGTGCTCCGCTGCTTTACTGTGAGGACCTAAAACAAGGGATGTCATGATTTTATTGTTATGAGCCAACCATTTCATATAACTCACACCTTAAAATTGTAGGATATTGTTGATCTCAGCACTGTGCTGAAGATGTGTAAAGCACAAAAGAATCTGCTTCTAGAGGCTCTTTAAAATTAGACACTGGTATGTTTAAAAGGCAGGGGTCAGGGTAAATATTGGAAAGATGTATTTCTGTAAAAGAAGTAAACGTCCTTGGCAATTGTGATGAGGACACACGATAGCTCCGAACATTGTGAATGAATTCTGCTAGAACTTTGTAGGGGTGTAGCGGGGGTCATGCTAAAATTTGGCTTCCATCCACCGACATCTTCAAGCTCATCCTCACGATTTATTGGTGCAAAACTGACAAAAAGGCTCATAACTTAGAAAGTACGATTCTTAGTGTGGTGTATATTGTCAGCATATAGTAAGTACTGTTGACAGATTTAAAATAGCATGTCACATTTGACCTCTGACCTCTCCTTCAAAGCCAATAGATTAATCTGAAGGTCAAAGTGATAATAATGCTACTTGGAACTATTGAAACCTGCCATTGTTTGTATTGACAACATACAGGTGATGATCTATGCTGATTCTAAATGCCATGTCACCTTGGACCTCTGACCTCTTCTTCAAGGTCAAATAAGGTCAAACTTTTATAAAAATGGCTTTTATCTTTAAATCAGGCTAAAATTTTACTGCCTTTGTTTATGCTGGCAACATTTAGGAAATGATATTGTCGATGCCTTCTGCTAAGGTGATCCCAAAATGTGTTATATCTTTAAAGTATCGTCAAGAGAAAGAGAATGAGCTTCCTAGTTATATAGATAATAACAACAATAAGCTCAAGTTAATAATGTCCAGTTATTTATAAATGAATACCTGTTATAAAAGGGTGTAAGTGTAATAAGCTAAAGTTTTAGCCTAAACCCTTTGCTCAGTAATTTTTTGTATTGATTTTATTTTTGTGTATTGCTATATTTACACTTTCAAAATAAAAGAATCATTTTTATTATTGTATGTTCCAATAGTTCTCCAGGATGCAATGGACCTGCAGAGATGTGATGGTTTGTGGGGAGAGAGCCCATTTTAGCAAACGGATATGAAAACGATAAGGAGCGCTTTGATGAAGTCATATTTCAGCTGTTTCTTTTGTGTCCCACTTGCTGCTCATCTGTACACTGCAGCCTCGTTTTGTTACGCATCATTTGGCTTAGTCCTGCCACTTTTCTATTAAGCACTGTATTATCAATTATTTCATAATTCACAAACTCTGTAACGTAAAGCTGTGATGTTTGATAGCTTATGTGCACAGTGCTTGAAAAACAACCTGTATGCAAAAGACATCATGTTTGCAATTTGTCTTAGTTAATGATAGTGTGCTAAATAAGAGGGGGGAACCTGTAATTGCTCGGCTTAAGTGGGCATCCACTTATGTTAAATTGGCATGGTGCTTCCATTATTTTGTTGGCTTTCAGCGTTTCACTGGCACCGCCTCACATTTTCCTAAACATCCCGGGGAGCGGAGGGGAAAGATTTGCCGAACACATGTAAGCGTAGCTGTAAATCCACTGTGTTCACATCGTTAAGACCACCAGCAATATCAGAGCCATGATGATTTGTCCTCCCCTTAGAGTAATCTGCGTCTCGGCCCGTGAATCAAGTGTGTTTAGTGAAGTGAAATGAATAAGGGATCACGGTTTTGACTTGGATTCCCTCTCCAAGTGTGCTTTTCGGGAGGAGCAGGTGGTCCTAATATTTCTTGATTCTCAGTGAGTATTTTGCCAACTTTCTGCGAGCAGACTGACGTATCGTGTTAACGCCTCTTTCCTCCTGGTAGATGAAGCTGCCCAACTGTAAAACAGTTTATCTGGAATCATAATTAGAGATGTTTGGATTACTCCGGACTCTGATAAATTCCCTTCAGAACCAGCCAATGTACACGCACGAGTCTACAGACTGGCTGCAGCGATGGCTCGCTGAGTTTTCAGGAGGTTTTTTAACTTCACAAGGCAGATTTGTTCTTTACTTGATTGTTCGATTGATTCCTTGCTTGGTTACTTTGCTCTGCGGGTCCATTTGGCCCCGCATAACTGGGTTGTACTCACCATCCCAGCTTGATTGTTTTGGAAAACCAAAGGCCAGTCGATGCAAAGTCATTATAGCAGAGATCTCAGCGGTCCCGCCGCCCCTGAGGTCCACAGGTGGTCCAGCAATGTAAAGTAGGGAGCTTTAAAGTGAAGGTGATCTGGTGAAATTCACTGGGAACAGTGAGGTTTTCAGTGCAATTTCATTGTTGATATGCATCATAGTAGGCTTTTGCAGCTCATTGTTAGAGCAATTCAGAGCTTGGATTTCTTTTCACATGGACCCGCTGGTCTACAAAAGGAAAAATAGGCTGCAGGAAAAAGTATTGTTGTATTTAAAATGATCATTCAGGGCACAACTCTGATAAAAATGTATGTCGAAACTTTGGATATCGCAAGTATTCTGTTTTAAAACATATAGGAGGCTACAGGTTTGTATACGGTACATCTCTTATCAATTTTCCAGGATATTTGGATGATTGCTGTCGGATACTCATCAAATATTTTTGCTGTTCTAGACCTTCAAGAAGGTATTTTTAATGAGTGGCACTAAAACAGCAGCAGAAAACAGTGAATCAAGAGCGATAACGTTGCCGTGCAGAGACAGAGGTTACTGCTTTTAGAAAATATTCACATGTTCCACCCTGTGAATTTAAAACGGAGA